CAGGTTTGCTGTCAGCTTTGACAAGGAGCAGCCTCTTACAAAGTTGAGAATTGAATTCTGAATGCTTTACCAACTTGTAAAAATAAACTACAAAGTTCAAAACAAACAGCTTTTAGCTGCCTTTTTTTTTTTTTTTTGCATGCTAGACAATAAAGTAAACCAAATAAAATCAAGTTGGAAAACACTGAGATGTCAGTTTTTCATCTGGCAGTCTCTATCTTCTGAAGAACTGCAAGCTAAGCTCTGCTAAGCTCAAAGCCCATAGACTTTGGTTTTTAATTAAGAAGAGGGCAGAGAGCCTCCTAATACTTGGAATGCAGCTCGTTTCAGACAAGTGAATATTTAATATGACCTCCTATAGTAACCTCTTATGCCTTCTAGCTTTGAACATTGTTTTAACAATTAAGCTTTTCTTGCCTTGTGTTTAAATAGCTGTCCGCAGCTACTGCAAATTGATTTATTGCTTGATGGGGATCAGGGATGCTGAGCAAACACAGAACAGTTTCTAATTTAAGTAGTCCATCACTGGTTTTGTTGTTGTTGCTTGATTACTTGTTTTAACATCACTGTGTGTTCTCAATGTAGTTTTATGCTCTTCTGTGGGGTTTGGAGTGTTAAAAATGGAGAGGGTGTAACACACATGATGTTATAAACAGAGTGTGGTTGGGTATCTAATATTAAATTCCCTGACGTTGTCTGCTGATACATGTTGTTACGGTTTATTAAGTTGCTTATATGCCTTTGCTTAATTATAAAGATGTAATATGATATTTCCATGCTAGGTATCTGCTGATTTTGAATTTTAATTTTTTTTGTTCAATCTTTCTTTTAGACCATTAGCTTAAATTACTCAGGTATTTGAAACTTAACCTTGCAAATATACGGGTTTTCTCCTAATAAAAATTATAGCAGTGTTTTTGGAAGGGCTTCATATGCCCAGCATGTAGGAAATTTAGTTAAATCTTGAGCAGAACAGAAAGGAGGAGGATGTCAGCCCTTATGTCAAGGGTTATGTCCTTTTTCTCCTTTAAACATTACTGTGGACTTAAACATCACCTTAGTCAGCCTTGAACACATGCAGTTTCAGCAGCTCTCTTACATGAGTGTCTCACCTGCAATGACACTTTTAATGATCATTTTGATCTGTGCCTTGCTTGAATCTGAAACTTCATTGAGATGCAGTGATGATTTCACATGCTTAATGCACCTCATCTGTACCTATGGGAATAGGAGGGGAAGGCTGTCTGACCTGAATAAATGGCGAAGAAGAACTGATCTTGCAGTGTGCTAAAGTTGGCACAAAACTCCTGAGAAACTGTGTGATGTGATTAGGAGAAATTAGCAGTGGGAATGGAAGATATTTTTCTGGGGACAATAAAATTGTTTGCATAAGGAAACTGGGCCTGAGGAGTAACAGAATGAAAGGGAAGAGGTAGCTGGAGGATTGCAGACAAACTGCCTGAACAACAACATAAGGGCTGGAGCTAGGATAACTCTGTAACTGGGAAATAAGGTCAAGGAACAAGGTGGTGCATACCTGGAGTAAATAACAGATAAAGAAGGTGAATGTCAACATAACTAGAAGTTAAATCAGGTGAGAAAAGGATCAACTGGATAACGGGAGTGAAAACAAAACAACAGAAAAACAGCCCTGTGTAGCTGAAGATAAATCTGAGTATGAGGAGTCCAAGAATACGATTAAAGAAAAGTGCAACTAGGACAGCTGGAACAGGGATGAGAATCAAACACTAGCATTAACTAGATAAGAAAAACAAACCTGGGATGAACAGCCAAGAATGGAGAGGGTATGAAGACAGGTTAGAAATAACAAACCAAGATAAGGCAAAAACATGGACATGAGAAGCAAGCAGATGGGAGTGTGCTATTAAAAAACACCCTCTTCCAGAACTTGGAAGGGATCCCAAGATTTGCTGTCCCTCTTCTGCCAGCAATCACTGTGAAATCCAGTGGTGAAGAGTCGCACAGCTTTTCAAATGCTGGGCCAAACGCAGGACTACCTATTCATGCTAACTGCATGGAGGAGCAGAAGATTCAAAGTGGTGCATGGATTCTGTGGGAGTCATGGAATGGGTTGCCCAAGGAAGTTGTGAATGCTCCATCACTGGCAGTGTTCAAAGCCAGATTGGACAGAGCCTTGGGTGACATGGTTTAGTGTGGACCTTAAGATCATCGAGTTCCAACCCTCCCTGCCATCAACTCGATGATCTTAAGGTCCTTTCCAACCCTAACTATTCTATGATTCTACGATTAATGATGGGGCTGTTGCTGGCAGGAGGCTGGTCAGGTTTACTCTAGAAGCTGAAGGGAAGTATTGAAGAAGAGGAATTATGGGAAGAGGAAATGGTGTCTGAAGTCTTTCGAGAGCTGAACAGCTTGAAATTTGAGTTTTACCCTTGCCTCTGCTGCAGAGTTCCATGAAAAAGCTGGTTCAAGGCTTTTAAATTACAGTTCTTGCTAATTATTTGCTGCTCATTTTCAGATACCTGAAAACTTTGGGGTTTGATTGGAAGTAGTTTTGGATGCTCAGTGAGTAAGATTACTTCAACTGGAACTAGGCCTTGAAGAAACAGGGTTTTCTATAGTGCCAAGTCCTGACAGGTCCACAAGGTATCAAACCAGGCAATCAGTAACTGTTTCCCATGTGTAGTAGTCATAATATCCCCTCATCTGAGGGGTATATTATGAAACTAAACTAATTAATATTACTGAAGCACAGGGATACTGCAGTAATAAGCCCCATAAAAAGCCCAAGAGAAAATTAATAACTGTATGCAGAGTAGGATCTGAGTGTGTAATGAATAAAGCATGGGGCATGCATTCAAGACTAAAACACAAAACATAACATTGAAGGGGTTCTTGTTAACTAAGCGCAAAGGTCTGTAGAAACAAAATGTGAACATGCAGTGAATGGCTTTCATAATACGTAAGTAGACAGGAGAAAAAACATAGAAATAAAGCTTCACAGGTGAGCTCTCTGCTGTTAAGATCATGAGTGCTTCAAAAGTTTATGTAGTTTACTTAACCGTGATTATGTACATGCCTGTTTATTACTGTAAACAGTCTGCCACAATGCACTTTCATCTTCAGTATCTCCCTACAGAATAACAATCTGGGGAACTGGGAACTACTTAAACACAGTTTCAGGTATTTCAGAAGTGGGCTAGGTACCTCAAAAACCAGGAATGGGTTTATCAGGAGATAAAAGCAGGAAGGTAACCATCTCCCACTGAACTTCACTGTGCTTGACTCCTGAAAAATCCCAGGAGTCCCAGTCCCAAGGAGCTGACCAGCCATGGTCTTCAGGCTCCAAAGCTTTAGGCATGTGCTGAGCTTGATGTTTGTGAATAAGCCCTTTGTGTCCACCCACCTAAAACTCCACACGAGATGGAGGCCTAAGCAGGAGACAGATAGCCAAAGAATGAGGAGGAGGTGTGAGCAACGATGTTTCAGATGTATTTTTTAGTTCTGTGATTGTGTCTGTCTTTCTTACATACTTGTCCTTTTTTTTAAAATTCTTTTTTTGTGTGTGGGAAGAGCAGAAAACCATCCAACTTCCTGGATTAAAAGAAATATTAAAAGTGGTTATGGTATTTTTATATAACTACATTTACCAATACCCGTGTCCCTGTAATATACCCCCAAATGAGGAAATTTAAAGGAAAAGGGAAAATGCTTGGAGTTTTGTTGTTGCTGTTGTTGTGTTCCTTTGGTTGGTTTCCTTCCAGCTTAAGCATTCTGTCTTCCTGGTTATGTGTTCGTTTCTTTGGAAACGGCTGTAGGATGGATTTTTGATTGACTGTGTTGTCAGATGGATTATCAGAGTTGCGAGCTTTTTGGAATGGTAGACAGGAATGTGTGATAAGAAAAAAATATTCTGTACTTCAAATATTTTAAAATGTTGCATCATGAAAGAAGCTAGATTGAATATTTAACAGGTTACATAGGAAAAAGTTCATTAAAAAATAAAGAAGTCAACTGGTTTGGTTACTAGGAAAAAATTCTGTTAATATGAGGAAAGGTTTTTACTAATGTGACTGGTGGGAATATTAATACCTAAGCAATCTAGAATTGTTTCTGCAGAGCTGCAATGCTTATTCTAAGCAGTAATTCTAATGTGTAGCTTCTCTGGATTACAAGCAGAAAGCAGCTTGTACCCTGACCTATACACACACTTATTTGTTACAGCATTTACGTACCCAGATTTCTGCATGATTCCCATTTAGTGTTTTTGAGTTTGCTTCCTGTCTTAGTCAGGGCTCTGCAAGGCCAGCTGTCCTCAAGGCTGCAAGCGGTTGGTGCAGCTCTGCTAGTGCTGGGGATTCTGAGGCTGGGGCAGATTGCTGGTGGGAGGCCGGGGGTGACGTCAGTGCCCACCTTGCTGGGAGAGTTAATCCCCTGCTGCACAGAGACTAATAATCTCCTCATTGGGGAGACTGTTGTGTTAAGATCTCATGTTGTACATTCCTCTTCTAGGGCTGTAAAGCAATTGGCAAAATCAGCGTTTCTGAAGCTCTGTTGACAAATGTGTGCTTGTCAGAGGTCGCTTCTTTTTGGGGTGGAGATGCATAGGATGGGAAAGAAAATTAACTTTTTACAGGTGTGCACATATGAAACAATAATAAAGCCAGGCTGGGAAGGTCCAATATGTGAAGTGAGCAGGTATTTAATGTTGCTGTAAGAGAAACTATCTCCTTTCTGGACACAAAAATGTAACAAACTAGATTACAGATTGGATCAAACTGGTTTCTTCAGCATAACAGCTCACCAAACTGTGGCACTGTGCAAGCTAAGACAGTCCATCAGCACTGACACTGCCAGGATGGATTGATGGGAAGGGTCTCCGATAACTTCCTTGGAGTCAGTCCTCTGTGTCCAGGGTGGCTGGCCACAGAAATTACATTGAGGAAGAGGGGAAAGAAAGGAACAGGACTCAAGTTTCTCAGGCTTTTCTATGGTCTAGTGTGTGGCACTTTTTGCAGACCTTGTGATGCACAACAAACAGAACTGCTGGGATGGAGAACAGTTATGCCTTACTGAAGCCTGCAGCCTTTCAGTGTCAGCTACTCATTCCTTGGCTTTCGACTCTGGACCAAGACTGAGTTGGAAGAAATATGGACACAACCTGGATGCCAAAAACATAAGGAGCACAACATATGGATGTTTCAAAGACACCGACGTTACTCAGTGCTAGACTCCTTAATATGCTGTTATTAAGCTGTTATTAGCTCTGCCTTAACCGACCCTTCCAGTTTTAATGGTATGAACTGCTGAGAGTACCTATCTATAGCAACACTAACCCTTCATTCGTAGGACGCAAGGGGCAGACGGAGCGACTCCGGGCAGGCAGTATGCGTTGTGTCTCGCCTTTCCCCCCGTTTTAGGGAGCAGCTCTGCCTCTGTATAGCCCCGATAGCAGGCTATGCCTATCCCCATCCCCAAATAGCGGCGATAGCAGGCAGTGCCCACCCGGAGTTTGCGTAACCGCCTTTCACCTCGGCCCCGCCGGCGCTGCCCCAGCCCCCTTCACCCCGCGGCAGCACCTGGGGCGGAGCGGACGGCCAGCACCAGCGGAGAGAAGGGGCGCGCAGGGCGGCTGCCAGGGAGGCGCTGCGCCCCGAGGCAGCGGTGACGGGTGCGCCGCGCCGCCGGCTCTGCCGGCGCTCCTGGCACAGCCGGGGAAAGGGACGATCTCCGGATTTCCACCTCTGCGACAGGGGGAAGGCAACCGGGAAGTTTTGCGGGAAGAGCGAGCCTGTGCGGGCTCGGACATGAGAGGAAGACGCAGCCGCTTCTTCGCGGCAGCCCTTTCAAAAGTCAGTGTTAAATGTGACACCCCGGCGAAATGGGAGCGGGAGAAACTCCCCGCTTCCCACCCCTTGTGTCCCCCCCCCCCCCCGCCCTTTTCCATGGAAACTCGTAAAAGGAGGAGGAGTAGAGTTTGCTACGGAAAAGTCTCACCTTGGTCTGAAACAGTTTCAAGCGTTTCTGCAGGATCGGAGCTGCCCGGCTCGGGGGAGGGGAGGAGGCAGGCGGAGTGGGAGGGAGATCTTTAGCTACCTTCATGTATATATTTTATTTATTTTCCGCTTGCTCTTATTTTATTCCAGCGGCACGTCTCAGCCCCTCCTCCCCCCTCCCTCTCCAGGTTGCTCGGCTGAAATGAGGCTTTGCTTGCTGATTCCTTCTCGGGCTTCAAACCAGAGCCCGGCCCCGCGCAGGCGGCAGCAGTTCGGGGCGCTTCGGCGCTGAAGCGCGCCGGAGCCGAGCAGGACACCGCGGAGTGGAGTGGGGCGGAGGCCCCGCGGAAACTTCGCTTGGAAAATAGACCTCCGCCGCTTTCCTGGGGATCCACGTGAGAACAGGAAAGCCCGGCTGCAAGATCCCCGCGCTGTTGCCTGCTGCAGTTTTACTTTTTGTTTGCCTTGACTATTTTTTTTTCTTCTGTTTGTTTGTTCTTGCTTTCATTTCGGAACCGGTTCCCAGCTCCTTGGCTGAACTTCTGGAGACCAGTGGACCTTTTATATTGCCTTCCTCTGTTTTAAGCAAACTATGGACGCTTAAACTTTTCTCTTTCCCCCTCCCCCTCGCTCCTTAACCCCCACCCATCAGCTCATGGGGCTAACGCTGCAAAGCAGCCGCAGCAGTGGGAGAAATACACAGCCACTGACTTATTTTCCCGTTTCCTAAATTGCAGTTAGTTCTTCTCATCGACCTTCTCATCACTCATTCTCTCCAGCTTTTTCGGCTGCCGGGTGTCTATGTGTGCATTGTTTTATCTGATCTCAATTCTTTTGTTGTTGTTGAAATGCCATGCACTGCTTATCTAGAGAGAAAGCTATATGGAGATAGAGGCATATAGTGAATGCGCGTGTGTTTCCATAAGACTATCAGGGGAGCAGATCAGAAGCAGCCCGGATCCTGACCCTGACTGTATGAATAAGTAAGCAGGATGCTGACGACTGTGTGTTAGTTGCCTGTAAGGTTTTCGTAAGTTAAAAGGGGACGGAGAAGCGGGGGAACAGACCAGAGACAGAGCTTAGAGTAAGTGTTTGTGCAGGGGGGGGGGGGGGGGGGGGGAAGCGCTGACACTTTGCTCCCTCCTCCAGCATAGCTGCTGCCTCCCATCACTAGGGCTCCGCGGTTTGCTCTAGTGCACCCCACCCCTTCTCTCCCTTTTCTTTCTTTCCTTTTTTCTTTCTTTCTTTCTCTCCCCCCTCTCCCCGCGGTAGTTTGCTGATGTGCAGCCCGGATCCATCTATTGGCAGCAGCAGCGGGACCGGGGTCGGCGGGCGCGGAGCGGGACGCGAGCAGCGGCCGCCACCTCCTCCTCCTCCGCGGGAAGTTTGGCTGGGGTTTGGCAGAGGCGAAGGGGCGCCCTGACAGACAGGATCTCCCGGCCTGAGTCCACCCCCCGCGCCCACCCAGCGACGTCTCCCGGGCGAGGTGGCTGGCTGGGGGCAGAGGGGCACCGGCGCTCATGCTTCTCGCTGCGTGTTACACCCGTCTGACTGGGGCTACCTAAGCACCGTGTCTTCGAAGAGCCTCCAGGTGAAGAACGAAAAAAAACAAACCCAAAACACCTCCCCCCAAAACCTGTGATTCCTCCATCCCTTACCCTGCTTTCCCAAGCCGACGTGGACAGCTGAGCCGGCCGCCTAATTCATCTGCACCCTGCCTACCGCCTCTCTGCCCGAGGGAGGATGAAAATGCTTTGCTGGAGGATGGCACTGTGGCTGGCCGGGTGGACTGTCTGTGGGAAGCCTTCCTCCTGTTTTGGCCTTGATTATGACTACACTTATGATTTCACTGAAGAGGATAAAGCTGAGGGGATAGATTATAAGGATCCTTGCAAAGCCGGTAAGTGACTTCCATGTCTAATACATTTCCCTCCCCCCTCCCCAGATGGTAACTTTGTCTGGGCTTTATTTACCGCGTGAAGGGGGAGTCCCGGGCTCACCTGCTCCCTCCTGGGGCAGCGAAGACAAGCGGAGCCGGAGACTTGCGCTCGGCTCCTTCACCTGGGGAAGGTACCCGGGACCTGCTCTTCTGGGACTTCCCACTTCCCTAGTGCCCCTGGCTGAGGTGGGATCGGCGGCGGGCAGGGCTGGACCAGCCGCCTCCACTCCGCGTCCCCAGCGGCGTCGAACCGGCCGCGGAGCCCGGTTCGTCGCCGCCGGGGACGCGGAAGTTGCAGAGGGCATTTCATCGGGGCTCAAAGGTTTCGAGGCGGGACCGTGGAAGGAGGGGTTGCTGACGAGCTGCTGGGTTCTCAGCTGTGAAAGCCCACGCTTGTGTGTCTCATAACGCAACCGGTACGCGATGGGGGTTCGTCATAGCGCGTACCGTGGGACCGGTACCATGCCCCTTGCCCACCCTGTGCCTGACCGAGCCTTTCTAACCTGTGTGGGAAGGGTTGAGTTACAGCCTCTTCTCACCATGCAGAGCAAACGAGTGCTTTTCTAGAACGTTTATCTTACTGATTTAGGACTTCAGACACCTTAATGCCAGGTACAATTCTTCATCCATTAAAGTTATCAGCTAACCCGAGCTGACCTGGTATTTCAGCAGACAAGTGTATCTGGATGATGCTTCTCCCCCACCCTCACATGTGTTACGAGTAACAATGGTGGTCCATTCCCATCAGCTCTGTTGTTAACTAAGTGCTCAACTTTTCCAGCAGCCTCCTTTGCATTAATTAGTTATTTTATATTCTGAAAACTAGTTCAGCCAAAGGTTGGGTTGACTATGTCTGTGTGGTTTTGTTTAATTTATTGGGGAGAATGTGGTGAACATATATGCCAAATATGCAGACATTTATGTTTTTCTAATCACAAAAATATTTTGTTCCAAAGTGTGAATTGTTAGGTCTTACTTGCTTACAACTGACGATATCCCAAGTTCAAAAAGAGCAGAAGCAACTGCAAACAAAACATTGTTTTTCCCAGTTAGCACTCACAAATAACTATGTGTAACTAACCAGTCATAATTAACCTGAACTCTTTTCTTCTGATTTGTAATTCCGCTGGAAGGTTCATATGCATCATTTCATATAATGATGAATGTGTATTTAATGGGAAATGTGCTGTGGGACTTTTTTAGTACTACTTGTTTTATAGTGGGAATAATTAAAAGTTATGATTCGTTATACTGAATGTTTTAAGGTTATGCATGAGAGAAAGACAACAGTAATATACTGTGCAATATGATCAGCATTGACAATTCTCTGCCATCATTATGTTGATTTGCTTGGAAATTTTGACCCATTGAAATTTTTTATGGAAGTTCTTGCTGGTGCTGCTTCTTCATAAGGTGCTTAGGCACTATTGTGACAAGAGTTAGTTGTATGAACTTCTCATTAGTCTTAAAAGTCATCACTTTGAGGTTTCCAGATCAGTGAATACCCCATTCATTTATTGTTAAGTGTATGGTAGTTCTTCAGAAGTGAAAATTGTAAGTCACTCCTGGACACTGGGTTTGTACCGCATACCAAGCCGTGTCTTTTAACAAAAATTATAAAGTTCTATATGTCAATGAAACTGATCCTCCAGCAGTATTTCCCAGTTACTTTTCCTGCTTAACCTTCCCTAAAGGCTCCACTAATCTTACCCTGTGAAGTGCTGATACCTGATCAAAGGTGATGGGGATAGTGGGTGCTCAACCTCTTTTAGCAGCATAACCCAAATGTGTGTTCTCCCTTGGTTAGGTCTTTCCACCTGGGATTGGTTTTGGACTCCCACGAGTAATTTTACTGATACCTGTCATTAGGATGGTTTCCCCAGTGAGGCTCTAAAGGTCAAAGCCAGGCTTCACACTCAGGGGTGCAAGTTGTTCACACTCAGATTTGTGTGGTTGCCCTATGTGTGAGATAACGGGGTAAAACAAGATAATCCTTGCTGAGATTGTCTTTAGTGTATGCAAAGTTTGTATCTTGGAGATAATTAACACCTGCTTTAACTGCTGTAAAAGTGCTCTTTCTTTTTTAAACTCGGTCTGGTAAAAGTTAGGTCCCTGTTGTAAGCGTATATTTCTGCAAGCAAACAGGGGGAATGCCCAAAGTCATGGTTTTACCTACTGACATACTTCAAAAACTCCAGTGAGCTCCATACAGATTTTATAGATGTACTAGAATAATTTGACGCACCACAATCTGTGAGCAAATAAAGCACACTAAGATTCCCCCAAGTATGCTGATGCAAAATGGGATCACCTGTATTTTACAAGTTATTTGCATTCTAGTTTTCTCCACTGAATAGTGTTTGCTGCTTAGTTTTTGTTCCACAGACCACATGAGAAAATGTGATCTTGTGACACAAAGCACAGTAGACGAGGCCTCAGATCTACAGTTAGGTATAGTTGGGATTTTATAACTCTTTATAGGTACAGTCCTAACTCTTTGAATCAACCTTTTGTAGCTCCTTTTGCACCTGGTTTACCCTTTGTGGAAGAGCTGGAGACATTTACCAAAGCCAGAATGAGACAGCCTCCGTTACGTTATTTATAGGTATTCTGTGGGATTATTTATGGGTATTCTTTGTGTATTTTAACATTTTCATAAAGAAGGGATTGTTTTAGCGTATGTGCCTAGAATCACACTGTTTCTTTGACTTAAAGTCCCCAGAAGCAGCGTACTGCAGGATGCTATAGAGGCTGAAAAGTACATTTTCTTACACTGTTTCCAGCTTTGTGAAAAATGCAGAAAGCAGGAGCCTGACAGATACACAGTGGGGTTAGGTCTTGTTTCTTGAACTGATGTTTCCAATTGCATCTAAACCAGCAGCTATTTTATGCAACAACCTTGAAGTTCAGTCTCGTCCGTGAAGCCAGTGCCTTGGGAGTGCTGGAGTTAGCGCTACAGGGAAGGGAAGAGCCTGGAGAAATTTTGTGACGGTGTTGGGGAGACGAGTGTTGGAAGAAGTTATTGACATTGTGCAGAAGAGCTTGATGAGCTGTGTGATTTCCTGTGTGTTTGTCTGCAGACCTTTAACCTATGTATGAATTTTGGGTCATGCTACTTCTCTTTATAACAAGTATCCTGGCATGCTCTAACAGCGGGATGTGATGTAACACAGTTTCTGTGCTTCTGATGTCTCGGATATTTCCTCGTGTCTCTCTGCAGGATATTGCCCTCAGTGTTTACCATCGTGAAGTTCAAGTGTAAGGCATTCTTAGTTCATCTTCAAGATCTAATTTGCCAGAAGATGTGAAACTGGGAATGCCATACTCATCACAATGTTAGGCTTTAAAGATCTAAGAATGTAGATCAGCATTTGTATAAATCGGGTATGAGCCAAACAAATAAAATGCCTAGTTAAACAGGCACTGTGAAGTTTTTTGTATTGCAGCATGCATGTACATTTATCTGTGGATTCCTGAAGTTTTTCTTTTTTCCATTCTTGCCACAGCTTGTAATGTATTAAGAGTATCTATGCTGAGAAACATACAGAGTGAGATGGGTAGGAGAAGAGTTTCTCATCCTGTAATACTTGTTCATGGTCTGCACTTGATATTACAGAGATTTTGAAGGCTTTTCTTTTGTTTCTGTAAAAGGACAACAAAAACAACCCCCCAAACAGAGAAAGAGACACTGGAGTGATCTTCCAATTAAAATACTGTAAGCCGTGGGGGATTAGGCAACAAGTCTTAGTTTTGTTGCATATCTGCATCACTTAGGACTGTTGCAGCCTCTGGACAGCTGATTGTCCTCAGGTAAGTTTCTTCTAGTGTTTGTTCTGTGAGGTATTTCACCTAAAAAAAAAAATGTTCGAAGTTTAAGGAGTAGGCTCAAAGCTGAATTCCGTGATCTGTTGGTTTTCCCGTTGTGAGCCTTGGTCTTCTCTATACCAGAAGTTCTGTCTTACACTGGGGAAGCTTTTCCCAAGAAAAAACTTAATTGAAACTTTTACATTCTCACTGTAGTTAGTTTGGATGACTTTTTTTTTAACACAAAGCACTTAATTGAATTTTATTTTTTTTTCTTTAAATTAGTCAACAGTTGCTTATCTTGGAACAGAACCTTTTCTGTTTTTCCCAGTAAAGTTGGATAGAAATGTCAAAGAATCATAATAAAGACAAACAACTAGATTTACAGCTTCAGAAATTGGAAGCTGATCAGCTTGCTGTTGTTTGACTAAGTACAAATGTAAGTATGTATGTGTGTCTTCTTCACAATAAAAGTAAGTGACCCTTCTCGTGTCCATTTGTCATACCTGTAAGAATTGAAGGAACTAATTTGGGGTTTTGCAACTTTATAAATAATAAAACATTTGGATTGACTGTAATAGGGGTATTATTATTTCCCATCTTGCGTATGAAATGTAGTTACATATTTTATTTGTAAAGAATATGAAAAGTTGATGGTAAATGTTTAGTATTATTATTACATTGTGTCATTTGTAACTGCAGTCTAACTTGTTTATCAGTGTTGTGGCAACAGCCTTCTATTCCATTAGGTTGGGGGTTTTGTATTTTGTATTCTGGGACGTTTTCAGCTGTAAGATGCTAATTTTACAGTCTGGCAATATGAAAATTCTTAAACCCTCTGATTATGCATTTTGATTCTATTGCATGATTTAGGTAATTGAGATCTTTCATCTTTATATTTCAGTCATGCAGTAAGTTCTGAAAGATACATTGTGCAGTTTGTACTAACATAGAGGTTGTGCTGCTAATATCACTTGCCAGATTGACAGAACTGTGAGTAGTCATGTAGTAAACGCATAGTGTAGGCAGCTGAAACAGAAACAAGCTTTTCTGAAGCCTGTCTCAAATGGCCTTCATCCTGCTATGGATGGGGTAAATCCAGCTACTGAAAAATTCAGCTTTTATGTTGTATTTCTATTTCCTGGGTGGAGGGGCAA